ATCGTGAGCTAACAGAAGTTGGAAATATGGAGCATTGGATTCTGACCCAGTGGCTCAATGGTGACGCGCTGGTTGCGGAACCTGAAGGTCGCGGGTTCGATCCCTGGTGGTGGGGTCGTGGGTGCGCAGTGCTGAGGAGTCCCATACTAGGAGGAAACAGCTGTCCAGTGCTCCCAGGTTTCGTTTGTTCCTCCAACTGATGTCAGTCTTCGATGAATAACAACTTGAAATAATGAATAGTGTTTAAATAATTATCATCAATCGACTTCACACTTTTACAATATCTATGTAATTGCATTTTTGTGCCTATCATTTCTGATATAAAAAATAAGTCATATACAATGGATACAAATTTGTCGAATATGGGATCTTTGAAATAAACTTTACAGAAAAATGATATTTGAAACAATTAGTCCCTTTTATGAATTTGGATAATGTAATTAGAAGACGTAGATTATCTGAAAAATGTGATGTATTAGCGCTATACATTTTGAACAATCTGATCACAAATTTACTTGTTAAGGCATTCACATTTGAAGGTGAACATTTTCGACAAATAGATGGTGTGGCTATGGGAAGTCCTTTAGGACCATTGCTAGCTGATATTTACATGTCACACATTGAGGGCTTGACCGGCGATCTCATCAATAAAGTTACTCTCTATAAAAGATATGTTGATGATATAATCGTCATATGTGATAAGCATGAAGATGCAACATGTTTGTTAGAAAGACTTAACAACGTACAAAACAACATAAGCCTGACAAGTGAAGAAGAAAAAGAAAACCGTCTGCCATTCTTGGATATACTCCTAAGTCGTAGAAATGATGGTTCAATAAAACGGTCGATCTACAGGAAACCTACTTGGACAGGTCAGTATTTAAGTTTCCATAGCTTTTGTCCAACCCAATACAAGCGAGGTTTGGTAATTTGTCTATTTAAAAGGATCGAGCGTATTTGTACGGAGGACTCAATGGATGATGATATCAAAATACTAACGGAAACATTAGTGGAAAATGGATATCCATTGAAGTTCATAAACCGCTGCAAAAATCAGCGAGGATTCAAACCTGATCTGTACTCTGTTTCGAAGAAATGCGTTTACATCGCGTTACCATACAGAGGAGAATCTAATAGCATAATATTAAGACGAAGGTTAAGGTCTGCTGTTAGCAAAACGTACTATGCAGCTAAGCTTATCATAGTTGAGAAGACCAAACACCTGCTGCTACCTAGACCTCAACGCTGTATAAACGATTGTGTCACATCCCATTGCGTTTATAAATTTACATGTATGTGTGGACAAACATACATAGGGAGGACGAATCGTGATATGCACTTGAGGGTAGGGGAACATGTTCCAAAGTGGCTACGAAAGCAGCTGGATTCACAAACATTGATAAGCGCAGATGGCAGACAACCATCATCATCCATTGCGAAACATATCATTGATAAGAGTCACAGAATTGATATCAAACAGCCTTTACAATTTTGTACAGAAACTGTCAGGGGCGTATACTTAAGTTTGTTGAGGCGCTAGCCATAAATAAATTTAACGCCCCATTGTGTGTGCAAAAACAGTTTGTCCTTACATTAAGCCTACCTTGGTAATGCTTATTTTATCGTATTACCAAGATTGTCTTCAAGTCTTATCTTTTATTCCTCTCATTATCTTTCTTATTATTGAATTCCTTTATGTCATATGTGTCCTTCCCCCACTTCCAGTTTTCATATATAATGCCTTAACAAGTAAATGTGTGATCAGATTGTTCGAAATGTATAGCGCTAATACATCACATTTTTCAGATAATCTACGTCTTCTAATTACATTATCAAAATTCATAAAAGGGACTAATTGTTTACTTATTTGTTATGTCTTACCAGGCGACTCTATAGTAATGTATACCATTAATTTTATCACAAAATTAAACAAATCACTTGATTGAAACATCGATTTTATCAAGGATAAATAATTCTTTGAATCCTATTCAGCTTAAAATACTGATGTATAGTTAGCTTAGAAGATGACCAATGTATGTATGTTGCATTTTGGATCAGCATTATTACCATTTATAAGTTACACACACTAACAATGAGAAGTTACAAGCCATAACATCTAAATTATAGTATATCCATTGTACAAAGAACGGCTATTTTTGTCTCAATGGCACTTGAAACGATTGGGTTCCGGTCTAGCTGAGAACGATATCACCCGTTGGAAGGCAGGTACATCCACCTATCCACAACCTGTCATCAATATCATGATTATTCACAATTTGATGTTATATAATTTGTCAAGAATTATGCTTAATTTGCAGTTAAAGTAATAAATTGTGCGTAAACATGTTACTGAGATGAAACAGTTAATCATAAGAACTATGTTTAAGTCAGAATGTAATGAATTATTTGATGATGAATAAAGCTGAGATTTTAAAATTTCGATTTGAAACTTGTCAGCTGGAAGTCCCTCTGCATCGGAGTGAGTTATACTGTGCCCCACTGACAGTACCTCTGGTTCCAAACGCTTAATTGTTCTCCGTTAAGCAATCATTATCGGTCGTTACTGTTTGTTGATATAATTTTAATTCTCCTTTGCGTTATACTGGATCGAATTGTCCGACCTCTATGGGTATATGGGCTCTTATGCGGCAGCCTCGAATACTGTGTGAATATTCTTTATGGTAATTTAGTTGGTTGTGGCTAGCAGAAGAATCCAGGATGCGCGTCCCGTCTCACTTGGGACTCATCATCTAGATGTGTTCACCCCATTGTGGGATGCTGTTCTAACTGATACTCAAACCTCGTACTCATCGCTTCAAATCCCAAAGCGTTAACCTGCCTAGTGGATTACTCTTTGGTGCAGGTACATCCAACTGATGATTCCCAGGTGGGATGAAACACGTGTCCTGGACTCCTTTGCTAGCCACAACCAAATAAATTAACGCAATAAATAACGGTCGGCCTCGTATAATGATCAATCTGAAATTACCCATTGTACAAGAGAAGGCGGTTGCCATAATTTAGCAGCCGTTTGAAACGATAGGTGATGATTTTGACCACTAGTGGGTACGTTATCAAATACTGGGATGTAGAAACATCCAGCTGATAAGTTTCAAGTCAGATGAAATGTCATATTCTGGATTCTATTACTGACCTCCACAAAGCAGATTATATCATAATGAGTCTTCATGTGGTGTCAAGGCATCTACATAGAGGTCGTTTAGTCAAGTGTCATGATCAATAGTCAGCTGGAGGTATCAATAAACAAGAAAAAGCCTATCAGTTAGATTTGTAGAAGAATCCAAAAGATAACAGATGAATTCTTTACATAAACAAAAATTCTACTAATAATGATCCATACACAAAATGGGTATTTTTAGACTACATCACGAGAAAGTGATACAATACCCTTAGTCAAACTACTTGGAAATCAAAACAAGACATATAAGAGAACAATACTGTTTTTAATTAGATCCTCTTCAGGCTTTACTCTAATACAAATAGCTTAATACCTATATAAAATTAAACTAATCATGTAGATTTTTCTGTTGGTGTGACAAATGTTTCATATAACGGTGGAGATAATAATACGAATAATAATAATGAAATTTATAAAAGTGATAACGTTGACTAGAGCACATGCAATATAGATGATAATGATAAGAACCCAGATAGCAGCATGAAAATGTAGGCACTCCAATAGTCAAAATGGGTCAACAGTTTGTAAAAATAAAAGTTAAGTAATAGTGAAGGGCGAGGTAAGTGGATAAACGAAGCCTAGACAAATACAGTAGGTATATGGAAGGGGTGAAGAATAAGAAAAGGGGTAAGAAAATAATAATAATAACTGAATGATAAAGGTATTAACTAAGTAATCCCTGGCCAAGAGAGAGATAAGGGATGTACAAACTTCTTCTGAATACAAAGACTAGGATTATTAGCTCGAATTCCCACAGCTTCTGCTATGTTTAAAAGACGAGTTTGAATACCTTTAGAAAGATGAGATGGTATGCGGTGTATAATCATGAAAGCAATATTCTTATCTACCGAGTGACCACTATCAACGAGGTGAGATAAAAACTGAGCTTATGATGGATTTTATTTGTCCCTTTTCCAACCATGAAGGTAGAGGCTCAGCAACACATTTGTTAAGTTGTTTAGTAGTACGCCTTATATATTTGGAAATCAACTCAAATTGTGAGACTGATAAGAGATTTTAGGGATATGAAGGAATATGTAATATCGGAAGCAATCAACAGGAGAAAAATGCATTTATAAAGACTATCATTTGACTATCAGAGATAACTGTGGTTTGGAAGACTAGTATTTATACTAGGTGATGATTGAAGATGAAATGAAAATTTGGACCGCGGCCGGATTCGAACCAACAACTACTGGGTTACCAGCCCGGTGGAAAATTGTACAGCTTTAGAAAATGATATGAAGAACATAAAACTTTTAAGTTAGTATTCATCATGGACTGAGATCAGTTTGTAGAGCACGGGGTCGGTAACCCGATGGTCACTGGTTCGAGTTCGGTCGCGGTCTAAATTTTCATTCCACATTCAGTCATCATCCAGACTTCAGAACGGACACTTCAGATATCCATTATGCTCATTTAGAGAAATATTGTAATTATACTAAAGGCCTGATTTTATTTTCTCGACGTCCAGTCTTATCTTACTTATAATAACTACTAAACTCTTTGACATTGTATGCCGCTTTTTATAACACCCACCAAATATTTGAGAATACGATTATGAATTTTTCATTTTAAATCATCTATATGATAAACGATAATTGATATGCATTCTTCAAGAATGAACTCTTTTGATACGATGGTCTATGAGGCTTGAGTTTTTATGGGAACAACATTATCCACTAGAAGTCAGGTACATCCAGCTGAAGAATCCTAAATAGGACAAGACATTCGTCCTAGATTCCACTGTTAGCTACTGTCCATCATTAATACATGATATTCGATTCTTCTTATAATATAGATTTTCTTGAATATCAGGACTGCATGGTTCGATAAAAGGGGAAAGTATGTATATCAAATGGTCTGTACAACGAAGATATATTCCGGTGAGAAGAGGAAGTCAGTCAAGTCTACCTACCATTCATTCACAGATACTTATACTAATAAGAAGATTTCGATTTCAATTATGCTATATTTTTTTGGCTTGTTGTTTCATACTACTATTACTACTGTTACTGTCATATGAGAAATATTTATTATTATCATGTATATATCAGTGGAATTTATTTCATCTACCATCATCATCATCATCATGTTCAACACTAAGAATCAATGAAGACAAGACAAAAGACTCCATATTGGTTATGAATTCACAAAGGATTCAAAACAAGGTAGTTACTGAAATGTTTTAAATTGTCATTTTGGTTAGTTTGTTCAGTGAAACAATTTTCTGAGGAATCTGACCCTGTATAGCGATGGGAAATTACAAGTATCATTACGAAAACTTATACTCATTTCACAAAAGATGGCTATCATGCTCCAGTGGCTTAATGGATAACGTGAAGGGTACTGGAAACAATATCACTTACTAGGTTGCAAGTACACGCAGCTGACGAGTCCCAAGTGAGATGAAATGTACGTTCTGTTAGTCACCAAGATCAACATAACATCTGCATTCCTCTTAAATATTCTTTGTGTTTTTGAATGACTTATTGTGTATTAACAAGCATAGAGAAACTGGTGTTTCCCAGGAGATTCAGAAGCTAAATACATTATCATCAATCTATTCGCTTTGTGAGTGACGCCTTGTAGAACTGGAATGTGCACGGGAACTGGCCACTAGTGAGCAGTTCACACACTGTCGTACGACACATGGTCTTTTACCACGTGCCTCCACGATTCCCATAGTTGTCTATTCAGTTTTTTCTCATGTTGCTCCATCAATAGCTGAATTTGATCAAAAGGAGCGTTCACCACAAGTCCCGTAACCCGTTGATATATCCCTGGGGTAGGTATATGTAAACCTCGCCGGGTTAACTAGTGTACTAGTTACTAGCCGGTCCTAAGCCCGCACAAAGAGGGAAGGTTGGGCATAGGGCTAGCAATCCTACCAGGGAAAACCAATCCAGTCGCTAAACAAACCTCAAAGCACAAAGAAAATATAAAAAATAAAAACAAACTTATCATTCACTGGAATCGGGGAGACAAAATGACGCCGGTTGGTAAAAGCATTCGGGAAGCCAGTCGACCTATGTGTTTTCTCTAGATAAAATCAAAAGTAAGGATGTATGTCCGCATCATGTTTGAACCTAGCGAGGCTACCCAGATTGCAAAATAGATGAGGAGGTGTGGCATGGAAGTTCTTGGAATCTGAGAAAGCAGATGGAATGGAATGAAAGTGGATTCTCCAAACTACCAACCACAGAGTCAATAATCTATTCCGAAATTGTCACCCACAAGACAACCACCAGCACACAGAGGTTTGGAGTGGCTATCACCACGTCCCCAAGAGTATCGAAGGCTGTCATGCAGTGGGAATCAATCTCCTCCTCCTCCTGCAGGATCAGGATCATGACAACAAGGTCTAACTGAAAAGGAAGGAAAGTCACAATCATACAATGCTACGCTACACATCCACAAATAATGTAGATTTAGAGAAGAAGGAGGAATTCTACAGACAACTGCAATCAGTAATGGACAAGACCCCACTCCAGTTGGCGACGTAGAAATTCTAATGTGTGGGGTGACATGAATGCCAATCTGGGAGCAGATAACACAGGAGGAGAACTCATCATGGATCGAGATTGAACATGCTTCTTCTCAAAGTAGAGACCAGGCCTGAACTAGTGAATCACCAATGCTTCCATCATGGTTCATAATTATTGAAAGCGTGCTCATTTTGAACTGTTCCCTTTTATTATGTATATGACACTGAAGTAGGACTTTGATTGAGCTGCGTGTGTCCTGAGTTGACTAAATGTTTAAGAATTGAACAGCGAGCTGATTTAGATTCTTTCCTTGACAACCATGCAAGATAGCGCTCAGAAATACGTTTGGAAAGTGTGCACTTTGTGCGGCCTGTATAACTAACTTTGCAGGAGTAAGTGGATTTTTAAACACACTTAGATGGTGCAACTATACTCTATTCTTCACCAATAAAGTGCTATATCTTTTGTGTGATTTACGTAAAAAGCATAATTGTACAGCTTTAGAAAATGGCGTGATGGATCAAGGAGACTTTCAAGTTGGTATTCAACATGGACTGACACTAGTTGGAGAGATCCTGGAAACCCTGAATCAATGGACAACTGTTTCGTCCTATTAGTATGGGACTACTCAGAAGTGTGCACCCATTACCCCGTCCTACCAGGGATTCGGCCTAGGACCTTCAGGTTCCGTGACCAGCAGCTTAATAGTGAGACATTGAGTTGGAATCCAATGGTCCATATTTCCCACTCCTGTCAGTTCACGACATAGCGCAACCTCCATCCAATTTCGTCGTTGAGTAACTGTCCTCATATTCAACTAGGTTGACTCCATTGGTGGCAACTTCTCATTGGAACTTGGCGAATCACCTCTCAAAGCTGGTCACTAATGAGTGCTAGGTCAATTCAGTTTTGGAGGTTTGTGGGGATGTGGTGATTTCAGTCAGTCTATAATGAATACTTACTTGAAATCAATAAATCTACACAAATCCTCAAAGTTAAAGGAAATTTTCATCGCTAAGTTACCTTTTCATTCCATTATAACTCAATGGGTATCTTTCACCAAGGAAAATATTAGTTGATAAAAAAACTTCTTAAACATGCACAATCGTCACCTACTTGAAAAGTATTTCTGAGAAATTGTCTAGGTTTATCTGGAGGAGGGTATTAGTACCATTCTTCCTACCCTCCCACATTGCATTAGATTAAAAGGGAATTTCAAGTTCCTGATACGAATTGAAAACCATTGAAAATCTGGGAGTACTGGACAGTACTTGACTCTCCAAGCAGCATGTACACATGACTCAACCTGACGTCAAACTCATGACCTTTAAGTTTCACGGCGAATGAGCTAACCGTTCATCTACTGGGTTTCTATATGACGCGACTATCACCCAAAGTCTTCAGTTGGTATCCACTTCCCTTCCAACTGGTTGACACCACAGGTTGTGGCTTCCCGTTAAAACTTCCGGATATCCATCTGTAAGCATGTCATTAATAAGCACTATATAGTAATGTATTGTGAGGTGAATAGGGATTTGAATTTTGAGATAGTACTCATCACGGACCGACATGAGTTAGAGAACCATTGAAAACCAGAGAGCACTAGATAGCTACTTCGACCTAGTGGTCACCAATGACCACTAGATCAATTCAGTTTGGAGGTTTGAAGGAATGTGAGGATTTCAGTCAGTCCATAATGAATACCAACCTGAAATACAGGTCAGTTTTCAAGGAATCTCTTAAAAGTAAACTCTACTGAAAGGCATTTGAGTTACATCGATAATATATTATTACCTATATAGAGAGGTACACAATCGCAAACTAAACTGATGATGTTTAAACAGATTTGGTGTTATATTAAATTATCAAATCTGTTGAAGCCAATGGAATTGAACTTTAAAACCTGGACTGAACACACTTGGTGTATTGTTCACCATTTTCAACTAGTTAGTTAAATAACTTCAATACATTGTCAGGAAGAATATACACTCAGAAACACACATAATTGTAAGCTTGCTGTTTTTTCTGTTCATCAGACTTATTCACAATGCAGTCTCTAGTCCTCAATTTGCCTGAGAACATCAGAACTGTTTTTCTGGATCATCACAGCAGGGAATGTATTAATGATGGTTCATGGCTAGCAGTAGTATCCAGGATGCGCATTTCATCCTATCTGGGGCTCGTCAGCTGGATGTACCTACTTCCCAGTGAGTGTTGTTCCCATCGGGATTCAAACTCGAGAGCGATCCCTTCAAACGCCAGAGCGTTATCCACTACACCACCGAGCCATGATAACCACTTCTTGTGCGACGGGTATAGTTTTAGTATAATTGTTTTTATATGATACTGTCGTTGCTTGGACCGAATTGATCGGTCTCTATTGGCATATGGGCTCCTGTGCGGATACCTCGATATTGCCTGCGTTCTAATTGTATTGATGTCTCGGTGGTGTAGTGGATAACGCCCTGGTGTTTGAAACGATCTCTCCCGAGTCCGAATCCTGGTGGGAACAACATCACTCACTTGGAGGCAGGTACATCAGTGCTGGCTAGTCCCAAATATGACGAAATGTGTATCCTGGATTCTTCTGCTAGCCACGATCCATCATTAATACAATTAGAACTCAGGCAATATCGAGGTATCCGCACAGGAGCCCATATGCCAATAGAGACCGGTCAATTCGGTCCAATTTACGACGGTATCATATAAAAACAATTATACTACAGCAGGGATTACCTAAATTGTCTGTGAATTTAGCTTATTGGGTGGATTTTTGAACATCATCAACACTGAACTAATGATTAAATGTTCTATAGTTTATTGTTTTAATTTATCCAGTTTATAATAGTTTTTTCTACCGATGGAGGTAAAGTGTCAATTGTTTTGTTCCCCTTCTTTACTTTTTTAATCACTGATCATGATTTTTGAAAGGATTGAAAAATAAAATAAAATTTTTTAAGTAATACAGTTTAATAATTTTTAGTTCTAAAGCTAAACTGCTGTGATATATATATATATATATATATATATATATATATATATATATATATATATATATACGTTTTTCTGGATAAATAAATCGGTACATTCGACACTTATATTCGTTGCTGTCTGAATTGAAGTATAAAATTGGTTGACAGGATTATTTTATGCTAAATAATTTGTTTGAAATAAATACGTTCACCAGCACTGATAACTATGTGGGCAGATAACAGAAAAGGGTTGTAAGTCCACTTCTGTTACAATCAGTTTCATTTAGAGTAGAGAACCTATCTACATTGAAAAACAGCTGTACCATCAAAGCAAATAATTTTGAGATTATCGGTTTTACTATATGAAAAAGCTATTGCTTTACAGACTTGTATTATTCATACTGGGTGATGAGAAGTTGTAGATGAGTAGCCAGCATGAATACGATGTATGGACATGGTCAACAGGCAGGTTTTGTGGTTCATTTGTTAGAGCACTAAGCCGGATACTAAAAAGTCACTGCTTCCAACCCTGCAACCTTCCATCATCACTCAGTGTCAGTTTTGAAATTCATCTTACAAATAGAGTACCGAAATGAATTTTCCTCTAAGTGATATCTTTTTGAGTTGCAAATGAAATGTTACTGTATTTTTCCGGTATTACACCATCGTAAGATATCATTAGTAATATTTTTATCATTCATTTAACATGAT